ATTCTTGAAAGTTTTTCCTCTTGATCGTCATTTCCTTGACTTTGCTATGCTATCAGTGGTCAATATCGTCTGTCATTGATAGGTTGCTTGAACTAATAACTTCACTCAATGTCTCTTCTGGTCCTCATTATCTTTTAGTAATATACCCAATTATTGCAGCATTGCTATACTAATGTTGTTACTCTTGCAATCAAATGTCAATTCTTCAAAACTGAAAAATATAATCTTCATGTCTTCTTTGAATTAACTTCCATTTGGGGAGTAACTCCGCGGATTGTGCTAATTTGCCATACTACCTATTATGAAGAAAATGTGAAAAAGTGATTCGAGTACATGCTAAAATATCTAAATTTTCCGGTGTACCATCTGTTCCTTTTTAACTCTTCTTGTTAGATTTCTCCTCGATCTCTGTATGCTATTCTTGAGATCCCACTTTCATTTGAATCCGGAGTAGAGCTAGAGTATCTGAGGTTCGGTTAAACTCAGTAGTTTTGGTTAAAAGCTAAGAAATACACTTGATATGTATAAATAATTTATTCAAAATTTAGTAAATGTCTTTTCTAGAATCCAGAACTCATAAACTCAAAATTCTGAATCTGCCTCTAATTTGAATGTCATACTATCATTTCAAGGACATCTTCACACCTACAGATTTTGTAACAATGTCTGGACTTTCATCTTGCAAGATGTAGTGATCAAGAGTGAGGAATGTTGTGTTAAGATTGTGGCGTGAGACTCGAAGCTGATCAGACAATGAGCAGACTCATGATGGAGAAAATTTTCAGTGCTCCTTGGTATATTTCTTTCACTAATGTACAAACCTGATTCAAAAGAAGCAGTCACAACTCAGAAGTATATCTTTATTTCCAAGGCAGTAAATTAGCTCTCAACTTTTGTATCTGTATAAACACAGCTATATTAGTCAGAGCTTTCATCTATGATTTATGAAGGCAGTATATTGGATGTATAATCCATGTTGATTTGCCTTTTTTTAGTAATATTGACCTTGACATGAGCGTCAACTATTAACGTTTAATTTAACTTCTATATATGCACTTGATGACTCCGGGGCGGAGCTACCCTTGGCCAAGGAGTGTTAAACGACACCATTTCGTCGAAAAATTACATTTTATATAAGGGTTAAACGACATGACTTTATCAAAAAATTACGTTATATATATATATATATATATATATACACCAAGTTTTGGTTTGATAAATATTTATTCAAATGTTGACTTTTTTTTTTATATAAACTGAAGGCTTAGTACAATGATTAAGGATTTGCAAAAATTTAGAGGTTATGTATTTCACCCCTGCTAGCAAGCGAACATTATAGTAACAACCCTTTGCTTTTTGACTGCAGCCCTTTTTTTTCATTTTTAAACAATTAAAACGACACATATTTTACTCATCATATTACATATCTCATCGAGTTATAATGTACTAACTATCTTTTATTTTTATTGATAAAAAATATTTTATTGACTTTCTCGTGTGTTTATTTTTTTTATATTTTGACATCCCTTAATAAATGTAACTCGGGTGGCTCAAGAGAAGACTAATAAAGTATTTGGCCAACAAATTTTATGATTTTATTTTTCACTTAGATAATATTGAAGTTTGCAGGAAAAAAAGGGGTACAAAATGTAAGAATAACATTTTTCAGATGAATGAAAGAAAGGAAAAAACTATATTGTGATAACTCTTACTTCATAGTTTCAAATACTAGTAGAGAAAAAATAATTAAATATCCTCCAAAAAAAAAAAAAAAAGTGATGGAACAAATGATAAGACTAAATCAACATGTCACGTCTACTTTATAGCTGATTCATCAATTTTTTTGGAAGGCCGGTACTAAGAAAAGTATAATATATAGTTCGCATTATTCTAAAGAGCATTTAATATTAATAGCAAAGTCCAATTATATGACTATTGTCAAAACTATAATTTAAATTTCTATATAGTAGAAGAGAGAGTTTCAACATGTCTGAGCTTTGTTCATTTTAGATATCTTATGTAGGTTGGTCCCTTAAAATTGACATCAAATTTTATTTAGATATCTTAACTAAGCTTTGTTCATTTTAGACACCTTATGCAGGTTTCCGCTATACTATTTTGACATTTTTTGTTTACATGGCATAGTTAGTGTGATGCACACACTTCCTGCGCGTGAAAGCCTTTTTTCACTAATTCTTTTTTAATTTTTTCTCTTCTTCTTCTCCATTTTCTAGCTACCATTTCCTAAACTTAATTTTTTTTTCTCTAGTAGAATAGATTTAGTGATGCCACAAATAAAAAAGTGAATTTCAGCCCACAAGATTTCCTAAAAGTTTAAATTTCAACGTTACAAAAATAATAATCGTATTTCTTTTTCACGTATTTCAATCATTTGCACATATGAGAATTGCAAAAAAACAAATTCTTCCATTGTTAATTAATAACTAATTTTTAGAAGTAAAGAAGAAAAAATTATACTTTTGTAAAATACTTTTTTTATAGCAATTAATTTCTTTTGAAAGTGTTTCTTGAAAATTTGATATGGGTGGAAAAGGGGTTGAGGTTGGGGTGGGTGGGGGTGGAGAGGACGATCTGGTGGCTGGTGGGGTGGAGGAGCGGGTGAAGAAGACGACTGGATTGGGCATGGGGTGATGTTTTTTCTTTTAAAAAAATTATTGTTAGTTTAAAATGCCACATGTCATCAAATATCTGGCCTTTCTTTTTTCTACTCAGAAGACATTATTTGAAATTTATTTTATATATATATATATATACCATGTGTCTTTGCTTGATTCGTCAATGTCAATAGCGAGTGTATTACACACACTTGTATATTTGGATGACTGTCAAAATGACACAACGAGACTGTACATAAGGTGTCTAAAATGAACAAAGCCCAGTTGAGATTTCTAAGTGAAATTTAGTGTCAACTTTAGGAGGCTACCGATGGATTCAACCGTTTTTGGGTATTAAATAAAAGTTTGAGAGTATTAACGTCCTTACAAAGTTTTATTAAATAAAGTTACTTAACAGAGTTATCTTTTATGCTTTATTAATTAGACTCCATCAAGAGCTCTAAAAAAAAGTCCATCCTTTTATCACTTAATTACAAAGCATACCCCTATAATTCCATGGAAGCTAAAGATAGGATGGGTCTCATTAGTCTTTATAGAGTATTTATAAATTTGTTTGGTGAATGGAAGCGAGAAAATGATCAAAATGATCATTGATGTATTGGAGTTGCTTTATTTTGGTCTTTAATATATTCTAGGTGATTGAAATAGTCCTTAATATATAACAAAATATGTTCAATTTAGTTTTTTACCCTAAACTTAACAATTTATCCCCAAAAATTGTTAAAAATAATGGTGGGGCCCACATAACTTACAAAATCCACAATTTTTACCATCTTTATTAGCTCAAAGAAAGAGTTTCATAAATTCTAAAACATCATTTTCTCTAACATCTAACTACACAATTACAAAATAATTCTCTCTGAAGTCTTGATTTATTTTTTTTCAAGTGTGAGAGCTATCTGTATTTTCTGCTAATGCTTTATGATCTATTTGAAACCGTTCTTATTGTGAAATTTTAAAAAATTATTTGTGTCTTTTGCTGTGATGAATTCATGAAAATTTCACATGTTAGATTTCAGAGAGAATTATTTTGTAATTGTTTGGTTAGATGTTAGAGAAAATGATATTTTAGAATTCATGAAACTCTTTCTTTGAGCTAATAAAGATGGTGAAAATGGTGGATTTTGTAAGTTATGTGGTTCCCACCGTTATATTTAACAGTTTTTGGGGATAAATTGTTAAGTTTTGGGTAAAAAACTAAATTGAACACATTTTGTCATACATAAAAGACTATTTCAATCACCTAGAATATATTAAGGACCAATATAAAGCAACCCCAATATATCAAATACCATTTTGATCATTTTTTCGAATGGAAGCACACTATTTTTATGTATTGGGCATAATTTAAATATTATTTTGTGTGTTAATTTTATTTATTCATTATTAAAAGATAGATTTTATTTTTACTTTTTATTATTAAAATGCAAAGTGAGGACAATAATTTTCTTATATTTTATTTTAATATTAATTACTTATTTTTAAAAATTATTTTTCAACACCTAATATTAAATATTAATTAATAGGAGTATTTTGACAAAACAAATAGTCATGTTAATCATTATTTTCTTAACATATGAATGTGACAAATAAAATTGAACAAGAGAATATATACTTCAAAGTTATATTGAGAAAGTAATTTGTGGAAATAAATAAATAATGAGGAGAACCAATAATACGATGAAAATGTTATTCTCCAATTTGTTGGGATTTTTTGTGAAATCAATTCATATCAATTAATTATAATTAATAACATAAATTATTGTTTTTAATTTAAATGTTATATTAACATATTTGCTCTTACACTTGTTCATTTTAGCAAATTAAGTAAAAAAATATGTTTGTATAATATATCTTTTTTATTGAATAATTATATAAAATACTAATGGTCAATTTTATTAATATTTTAGAATTTATTTTTATAAAATAAAAATCTATCTAACCTATAATTTTAATTAAAGAAACCTAATAATTGATCTGGTTCAATTCAATGTGGTCATTATTTTAGTTTCTAGAATTTGACCATTTGAAAAACCTCTTTCGCAAATGCATACCATACTCCTAAATAATTAGGAATTTAGATTTATTTAGAACATTAGTAATATATATAAATGTTCACGGGCCATTTTTCTAATTATTACTCCTATTTAGAAATGGGAGTTTGGGAGGACAAACAAGGGCAAAATCATAATTTTAAGTTTACTCCATCTGCACTATGTATAACAAGTGTTTGGCCTTCCATTACCATCTTACTCCATCTGCACTATGTATAACACGTGTTTGGCCTCTATTACCATCTTTTGATCATTCTAGAAACTGATAAATTTCTCTACAATTTCTACAGGCAATCAATCCACCTCTTCCTCTTTTGAAGGTAATTTTCCTGGGTTTGCACTGTTCCTCCATCTCAATACATTTTTTTCCTGATTGAATGTTAAATTTTTCATGTGCTTTCTTCTTCTCTGGCTTGAATTTCTCTGTTTTTATAAGACTTTTTCCATGCCTTTATATTGTTTCTAATCTACTTCTTTTGCAGGGGTTAATATTTGGAGAAGTTTTGGCAAATGAATTTCATATTTCACTACTTCTCTATGATATGGCACTTTGCGCATTCAAGGTATTCGATAATATGCCTGATAGCACTAACAATATTTTGTTATGTTTCTTTCTTTGTAGATTTTTCACTATATTTCTATATATTGTGCAATCGTTGGAAGATGCATCATCATGATAAATTAGAGAGATATAATTCCTTTGATAACAATATGTCTACTAGAAGTTTTATATTCATGTTAGCAGTTGTTCCTGATTTCGACATGCATTATGTCTTTTTGATGTATTTTGTGTGGATTAACAACTAATTTGAGGCGGATAATGCACCTAATGTATTTGATAATATGTTTGTCAGAGATGGAATCTAAACTTTTGTATTCTGTTGATTTTGAATGAAACATGTAAAACAATACACAAATTCGTTGGGCAAGTTTTCTCAATTGCCTCTTTCCCTTCTTAGTGTGTAATCTTGAGCTTAAAGTTATCTAATACTCATATTTTTAGATTGTAATTGAGGATTCTTATAATAGTTCTTGAGATTCTCTTTTGCTAATTTAGGAACATGACAACAAATATATTTGTTTCCTCTCTTTTCCTTAGTTCAGTAGTATTATTAAGTAGTCGTGTGTTCTCTTATTTTTAATGTATATTACTCTTTGTTGCTTCCCTGCTTTATCTCTTGCTCTTTTGCTGACATATTTTTCTAGCAGTTCTGCTTCAGAAACTCTTCTTTTGAGCCGAGGGTCTATAGAAAACCATCTCTAAACCCCCACAAAGGTAGGGATAAGGTTTGCATCCTAACCTCCCATAGCTCACTTGTGGAATAACAATGGATATGTTGTTGTATTTTGTCGTATTTCTTCATGAGTAGACTGCAGTCATTTTATGTAGAAAAATGCAACAATATGCATTTTAAAACTAATTGTGATCATCCTCTTTCTTCCTGTTTATACTTGGCTAAATGTTGTACCTTGAAGGTTGTTTCTTTGTGTTCAAACATTAGATCAGTTAAATTGTCTTTGTTTTGATAGTAACCTTTAGGCTGATAATTATTGCTTGTGCACCAAATGAAAAACTGCAAACCTTAGTAAATTTATAAAATTGACACGTATCTTTACATTTTGGAGTGTTATTTGGATGTGTTTCTATAATTTTTGCTAGCGGATTGTGCCATTTAAGCATTCAGGTCTGCCAACTGATTTTATTATTATTATTTTGAGATCCTTTGAAGATTTAAATGACATGCATCCATTTTGGCTCTTTGACAAAAATTCTCGGCTTGCAATAAAATAAAAAATATTTTAAATCAAAGCAATATTGGGCCAAAAGGAGAATGGTTATGGATGATTTATATTATAAATCGACTTTAACGGCTCTTTAGGCTTACAACCCAGGAAGCAATCTTCATGAAACAAGGGATAATAATATGCTATATTCTTTTTAGTAATACAAAATCTAACGATGACATTTTAATAGCCATCATATTTAGACGAATTGTTCATTGAGCAGAAGACTGTTGTTATGATATAATAGTTTAAAGTGCATGGTCTGCTTGATAGTGTATTTGATAGTTTAAAAGGCAGGGGAGCTGAGAGCTTCTCAACTGCCGAGGGAGTCTCAAGTTTCTCTTTTTGTGCTTTTTGGTAGATAAAGAAAGTATGTTAATTTATGCATCTAAATTGTAGGATAATTCTGGTGATATAAAGGAGTCATCATTTGTCATTTAATATGTTTTTTTTCATTTTTAATTTTTCCAAGGAGGCATCCTGTAAGGATCATGTAAGTAGATGCTGCAAGCTGACTGTCTTAAGTTACTAGGCTGTGATGAGATCGAGAGAAGGTGTCACGCCCCAAGCTACCCCCAAGACGCGGACACGGGACCTAGGACCACAAGTGATCCCAAGCTAACCCTGCTGGCATGATCATGAGCATACTAAAGATAATAAACTGATGCGGAAGCTAAATCATAAATAAATCTGAAAAGATGGGGAATATCCATATACTATAACTGAATATATCAAATCTGAGAGTTTAATACAAAAGAAATAT